TAGATTGATAGATAGAGAGATAGAGGAGGCATGTTTGCTTGGTTAGAGAAATTTGGCACCGGGGAGTTCGCCTTAAAATATTGATTTCGTGGCAGGCGCGGGTGTCGGGGATGAAGTGCAGATTTCGTGGCGCGGGGGGGGTTGGGGGGTGCGCAGCGCCAGCTCGTGCTTGCTTGCTTGCTTGTCGTCGTGCTTCGTGTCAGGTGCAGTACTTTGTGGACCTTGCAATGCACATGTTGAAGTGCAGAGTTGGTGGCCAGTGGTGGGCGCAGGACTTTATGGGCCTTGGAGTGCAGATTTCGTGGCAGGCGCAGGACTTTGTGGACCTTGAAGCAGGACTTTATGGGCCTTGGAGTGCAGATTTCGTGGCAGGCGCAGGATTTTTTTGTGGACCTTGAAATGCAGATTTCGTGGCAGGCGCAGGACTTTGTGGGCCTTAGAGTGCAGATTTCGTGGCAGGCGCAGGACTTTATGGACCTTGAAGTGCAGATTTCGTGGCAGGTGCCGGACTTTGTGGCCTTAGAGCGCAGATTTCGTAGCAGGCGCAAAAGTTTTTGATGTGGGAGTGTAGAGTTGGTGGCAGGTGCAGGACTTTGTGGGCCTTGGAGTGCAGATTTGGTGGCAGGACCAGCGGACCAGCGGACCAGAGGATGAGGACCAGCGGACCAGAGGACCAGGGGACCCGCGGACCAGAGGACCAGCGGACCAGGGGACCAGCGGACCAGATGACCGGCCACCCACACGACTGGGAATTCCAAGAGATTTCATCGCAAAACGAATATTTTGTTGATTCAGTAAATATTTGCTTTTTGATTCGGTAAATATTTTTTGATTCAGTAAGTATTTGTTTTTTGATTCGGCAAATATATTTTGGTTCGATAAATATTTTTTTGATACCTATGCCTCTTCAGAAACTCTTCTTGGATTGCTGGTATACCAGTGCAACCGAAGCTCAACATCAACTCTCTTGAACCTGGCACGCACCAGTAGTCAACATCCAACAAGTCTCCTTGATCTTGTCGACTCAATGTACGACCTTGTCTGATCAAATCATCTGCAACCATATCTGAAATGCTTTCCTGCCACAAGGTCATATCCAGCTGATGAACTTGCTGGATTAATGGCGTTCTCCTCTTCTCCTTCTGGTGAGGCTTGTTCTTCTTCCTCCACATCTTCAAATTGTTCTTCTTCTTCGCACTCCATCTGAACCTGTCCGTAGTACTGAAGAAGTCCAGCCCATGAACTCGGGCTACTGTCCTCATCTCCTAAATCACCTTCTGGCATGTCTGATCCTCTTTTTCCCCATAGTGCTGCTTCATCAACTGCACCTCAACTTCCAGCACTATTTTGTTGTGGTTCATGAACGTTCTCATAGCCACTGTTACTATCATCTCCGTACCATTCATCTCCTTCGTCTCCATGGTAGGGAGTGGTGGTCCTTGTGTGGTCAACATATCCCGAAAATGGATCATCACCTCCGGGATCTTCGTCATCATCATCTCCTCCTCCTGCTTCACTGCTTGTGCTTCCTCGTGGACGTCTTCTCCTCTGTTGTCTTGTCAACTCATTCTGCAAATCTTCTAAGGCGTCCTTGTACTTGAACAACTGAATTCTCATGTGATTGATGTGGTAAATGAACACGCTCAACATCACGACCAACACCGCAATCAAACCTGTGAGTATTGCCAAGCTAAAGGCTTGATGCCTCACTATCTCATCGAATCCTCTTTCGCTCATGCAACTGCCTGCATCTTCTCCACATCCTTTTTAGAAAACCTGCAGCTGCCAACAAATGAATGACTCTTCTGGCACTGGGCATGGTTTGCTCTTTGAAGGTGTTACTGTGCAAACCGATGAGCTGCTCAAGAGATTCTCGACGTTCTCTGCTCAAGCTCTTGGTGTTGAGATCTGCGGGGTTGTTCTGAGTGCTAATTCTTGCAACTTTGAACCATTGCTTCCTCATTGCACTCTGTCCCCATAGGATCCTTGTACTCAAATGCTTAGCTTTTCCTGGACCCAATCTCTGAAAGAATGCTTGAGCCGAAGTGGAATCCATGTACAACTTCATCTCCACCTCTTCATTGCATCCAAGGTCTTGCTTGCAGTTCAACAGGAATTGTGCTTGATGCACACACCTTCTGCCAATAATCCCGTTGCTGCTAACACTTCTGCCTCCATTGACGACAATGCTATGGAAGCTTGTGCTCTTGAATGCGAGTGAATGCAATGCCCATTCAAGAAGATCAACCCAGCACTCGTAGACTTGCGACTCACCTTCGAGGTCGCCCAATCAGAGTCTGAAAACAACTCAATGTTGTAAGATCTCTTGAGACGCTGACCCTCATTGGTCACATGATGCCATCGACCAAAGACATTGCTTCTCAATGTTGCTCGTTCAAATCGCATGCACATATCTCCTGTCCACTGGAGATAGGAAGCCAACTTCTTCAAGGCGTTCATAGAGTTCTTTGTCGGGTTCGACATGAATGAAGCAAGCATTCGAACAGCAAATTGTACATCTGCCCGTTCTTGACTGATGTAGACGCAAATTCCCAACGCTGATCTAAAGATCTTTGCCTCCTCCTTGGACAACATCTCTTCTTCTTTCACTGAATCTGGACTGCAGACATCCAACGTTGAATGAGTGGGAATTGTCCTTGCACGTTTGTCTTGAAGCTTCAACAAACTTGTCAACTTTGGAATGTCCTTGGGATTCACACTGATTTCGACCCCTTCACTGTCAAAGCTGATCTGTCGCTTCAAGTAGTAAAGAACACCTGGTCTCTCCATTCCGTAAGGTCCTTCTGACTTCAATGTCAAAATCTTCTCAAAGTGCTCTTTAAATCGTCTGTGCTCGTTCTCTGTTCCAACCAAAACAATGTCATCGATGTGAACAGACAAATACAAGTCACAGCTCTTGTGTCGGAACAATGTGCCTCCCTGGTAGGCTTCAAAGCCATACTCCTCACACAGCTTTGCGAAATGTTTGTTCCACTCTAAAGCTGCTGCTCGTTGTCCTGGTAGGCACTTACATAGCTTCCAGTACAGTAGTGTCGGATCCTGTACTGCTTCTCTTACCCACTCTGGAACCTGCACAATGACAACCTCTCTGTGGCACCTAAAGAAAAGCATCGCTCACATCATACACTGAACCATGAGATTCTGCAAAATGGAAAGCGAAAACAACATCTTGATGTAGGCGAGAGGTGAGGTAGGAGCAAATGTGTCTGCCGTGCTGTTCGTGGTCCTGAATTCACGGGCCACTAGTCTTGCTCTCCTCGTCCAACATTCGTTGCGGAACCTCCAATCAAACACAACACGAGTGTCCAATTCTGTTGCCTCTCCAATCTGCTGATTCTCTGAAATGCTCTCCAATACTTGCAGTTTACCTAATCTGTCAAGCTCTGTAAACAATGCTTCTTTGTTCAACAATGCCAACTCTTCTGACGTCACCGTTGGTGGTCCTTGACCTTCATCCAGGAATCCTCTTTTCTGTTCGTCTTCTGCGGGAATCACCGTTCCTGAACTGCTTAGACTTGCCCAGTCTTCTTCATCTCCTCCATACTCTGTAGCACCAATCTCCTCTTCGTCTTCATCGTACACCTCAAAGTCCTCAATCACACGACGAACTGCTCCTCTTCTCTTTGATTCGTGATCTGTTTCGACTATTGTTGAGGCTGATGCTATACTCTGCTCTGTTGTCTTGGTCAAATCTGACATGTTTATGCTCTTGTTCTGTAGTGTGTTCTTCTGGCCTCTTGACCCTTTGTGGTTCTGCTCTGGCTTTGGAAGCTCTAGATCCACTGGATGTGGGGTCTTCAGGGTGTCTCTTGGGACTAGATGTCACCACTTCTATTTCATTCTTCTCACGTCCAGCTGCTGTTGCTTCTGCTGCTGCCGGTGTAGCTGCTGCTGTTGTTGTTGCTTCGTCCTTCTCATTTGTTTCTTCTTATGGCCTGGATGCCCTGCCTGTCTCAATTCCTTGTCACTCTCATCTGAATCTGGATGATCTTTGGCATGTTTCATCACTGCAGCGGCATCCTCATCAACAACTCTTTTCCTCTTTTCTTTCAATGAGTCTGCTGGAACAGTGGGAATCGGTTGAGGTGTAGGTGGTTGCATCGGTCTCGAATCCACCTTTGTTCGAACTTCTCGCTTCAAATCCCACGGTCCAACCTTGGCGTTCAACAGCAAGTAGCCATCCCAGAATTCACCCGTCTTTCTCACTGCTTTGCTTCTGATGACTTCATCAGTGTAAACCAGGATGAGATCGTGATCCATGCTGTCCTTGCCAAGCCAACATCCTTTGCGCCATTGAGACCTGTACTTCTTCTGTAATGGATCAAGGCCCCAAATCATCTCTCCAAAACAACAGACTTTGCCACGATATGGCCTTCCTCTCAAGCTAACGTGCGCTGTCAGGCCTGTTGCTGAAGAAACATGGTAGTGGTTCAACAACCATGCTGCATGCATCATGCTCCAACTCTGCATGACACTGTCTTCTTCTATGGGAATCCGTGCTCTGTCCTCAACATGTGCCAGTAGCGTCTTGGCGACTTCTCATAGAAGCGTCCTGGAGTCAACGTGGTTTCCAATCCTTGGTTGGCTCTGATTTGTTGAGCCATCCGTGCACCTGCTGCTAGCACGGGTTCATTGTCATACTCCATGTCGCCTAATGTGGAACCAAGGAAATGGGCCATCAACCCCCCTAGAACTCCAGCATTCTTGTTCTTCACCGGCACAACATGCACGAACTTGGACCAAACATCGACCATCAGCAAAAGTGACAACGATGCTGTGTTGAAGAACATGTCAACTTGTACTGTCGGGTATGTTCTCAATGCTGCATCTGTTCCTTCTGTTGAGTGTTTGTCCATGACACAGAAACTGCACCACTTCTTGTAAGGTAGACGTGTGATCTCGTGCAACTTTCTCTCTCGTTCACTTGGTTGCTTTGGTTCTTCTCTCATCTTTGGTTCTGGATGTGCCAATGCATACTCCTGCCTTGCAACTTCAAGTGCTCTCTGCTTCAATGAAAGCTCATAGGAACTTCTGATGCGGTCAAACACTTTCTTCTTTGAACCTGAACTTGGAATCTTCAAGAACTTTGCTGCTTGCCTCAAATCCTTCATGTTGGACTGTTCCGTCAACTCCATGCCTCCAACATAAATGACTTCTTCTTCTCGAGGTCTCGGTTGGAACTCCAGCTCTCCTGTTGGTACATCTTGCCCATGTACTTCTTCCGTTGGAATCTCCTGTCCAACTGCCTCTTCTGCCATCTCCTCTTCTTCAATGACAGCATCTGGAGCCAACAAATCACCTCCTCCGTCAAGCAGCGTACCAAAGGTCGAAAGGTTCTCTGCCTTCTCTGAAAGGATGGTGAGGATAACAAACTGTTCATCCTCTGGAATCTCCTGAATCTTTCCAAAAGGTTCTTCCAACTCTGCATACTTCTCTGACACTTCCACAACTGTCCATGTGTTCTCATTGTCTGCAACACGTTGGATCAATGTCGTACGGTATGCAAAATTGCCAGACCATACCACTCTTGGATCAATCAGAAAGCGTCCCAAAGTTCGCATGAAAGGATGCTTGTCCTCTACATCCCACACACCATATCTTCTGTTTTGCTGGTAATCTGGGGCAATCTGAACAATTGCACGAACCTCAAATTCTTCTTCGGCCTTGGCAAACATCTCCACTCTGCACACCTTTGCATCTATGGCCAACGAATTGCGCTGGTAGTGAACGGGTATTTGGACTTCACCCTGCGGACTCTTGAGGACCAAACCATTGTTTTCTTGAGCTACACTCCAACCTCTCTTGTAGAGTTCTCCCCAGGAAAGAATGCAACTCTTCACATCTCCAACAATGAATTGATGTCTCAACTCGACCTCTTCTCCTGTCAAGGCATCCTGAACAACAAGTGTGGCGTCTCGACAACCTCCGGCTTTCAATGCTGTTCCTTGACAATCTTGGAGTCGAACTGCTGTTGCCTGCATGTCCTGCGCACTGAAACACATAGGAAGCAAGCTTACATCTGACCCTGAGTCCAAGATCACAGAAGTGTAGTGTTCAACCTGTCCGGCTTCTCCTGTGACTTCCTGAATCAACACCATGCGTACACTTGAAGGCATTTCACTTGACATGGATGGAGGGCCAATGTGAAAAATTCTTCTAACAGCAGTGTTCAACGTGGAAGTGGAAGATGGTGGTGCGGTTGAAGCTACTGATCCTCCTGCAGGTCTTTGTTGCTGTGGTTGTACCACTGTCACCTGCTGAACTCTACGCGGACAATCTCGGGACCAATGGCCAAAACCTCTGCGAATCCGACACTGGTTTTGCTCAATGCTGTTGCCTTTACCGCCATTCTTGCCCTTCTGCTTTCCTTTGCTTCCTTTCTTGCCTTTGCTGTTTCCTTTACCTTTGAACTTCCCTTTGCCTTTGTTGCCTTTGTTGCCTTTGTTGTTGGGATAGTAAGGAAGCTGCCACCACTTGCCTTTGCCCTTGCTCTTGCTTTTGGTCTTTCCTTTTCCTTTGTCTTCAATGCGGTCAACTTCCATAGGTGCAGGACCTCCCGTGTCTGTCCTAATCATGCCTCCTTCTGTCTTCAGCGTCAGACTGCGAAGAATGGACTCTTGATTCCATGTCTTTGAAGCTTGCTCATGAGACAACATGGTTTCTCTGACATTCTGATAGCTGCTGCTTTCAGTAATCGTCAAAGTCAAGCGCTCACGCAATTTGCTCTCTGCACAAGTAATCAATGTTGCAATCTTCAACTCCTGAGGGTATGTTGTTGAACTCAAAGTCTCAAACTCTTGCACCAAACGCTCGTACTGCACAATGCACTCTAGCACGCTCTTGTCCTTTGGAAATGCTGGATAGCTTGCTAGTGCTTGCGCCACTGCTAAGGATCTGCTCCTTGTCGAAGGCAAAAACTCTTGGCGCAACATCTTCCACAACTTGAATCCGTCCTGCGTCGACTTCTCTGCTTGGACCATATTGAGACATTTTCCCCTCGTGTAGCTAGTCAGAATGGAAAACAACTTGATGCTCAACGTTTGCTCTTCTGCATTGTACTCTGCCATGCTTGGCATCGTTTCAAGCTGTTCAACCTTTTACAACAATGCTTTGAACTTTGGCTCCCCGAAATTCAACCAGGATGTAAAAACAAACTTCCAAGTCATTGAAGCTATGTGGATCTGAGCCATCGTACGGCTCTGGATTGCGCAAGGTCCTTGAGTCCTTGAGGCTGTTTGCAATCCCGTTTGCAAGCCACTGGAACTCGAACTTGCTCCACCTGATCACCAGCCAAAGAAGCCAATCCTACCTCTGCTGCAGTTGCTGCCTTTGTTGCTGCTTCAGTCATTGCAGCCATTTTCATGAACATCTCTTGATCCATTGCTCTGCCACAATAATGCAACCAACTTGCAAACAACAATGCATACAACTGCTTTCGTCTCACCTGCTTTGCCCTTGCAAACACTTTCTTCTTCGTCCTCGATTGCCTGTGTTTGCACCGACTCAAGTGGCTCATCATCCAAGCTGCTATCAAGCTAATCGTCCATGCGATCCAGCTCCTTGTCATGCTCATCTCCTGCCATAACCGCTGCAAGAAATCTTCTGCAAGCTCCTGAACTGTACCTGCATCAGGCATCTGTTGTAGCAACTTGTCAACCTGTTGGGACAATGTATGAACCGTCTTGTTCATCAACTGCAATGTACCAAACTCTTGAGTAGCACCTTCCCAGCTTGTATTGCACTTGTCATCAAATGTCAAGCACATCTTCTCTTCATCCAACATGTACACCGCCATGCTGTTCACTTCCTGCCTATATCCCTTTTCAGGTTCTCCACTGTTGGATTGGTTCATCACCCGTCCAGTGTTCCTGTTTGTCACCAGATCGACTGTTCTCTTTTCGGCTTCATCCCAGCTGTTCAACATGCCAACTGAGCTCCACCAACCTGCAATGTTGCCCAACATCCAATCAACATTGCTCAATGCATTGATCACGCTCAAGCCACCAATGCACAATGCTTCAATGCTCAACCAACCTGCATTGCTCAATGCATCTCCAATCCACAATGCACAACCGTCAAGGTCATAGTTCACCTCTTGCTCATGCTCCAGGGTCAAATTCCAAGCACTGCTATCACCAACATGGTGTCCAAAGGCCTCGAACCCTTGTCCTGTCTCTTCGTCCACACCGCCAGTGAAGCAACCTGTCAACTCGGCCTCAAACCAAGCTCCTTGGGACTTGAACCCAGTGGCACAATGGCCTTCCAACAACGTGGAATTCGAATTTGCTTCCTCGAAGCCAGCGGTCTTCTGCTTTGCCATCTGCCAGTCACCTTGAGGAACATAGGCGCAGGCTTCCTCTCCGCAGTGCTTCTGTGGCACCAATGCCACTGCCAGGAACCATGCCATGGCTCTCAACCCTGGTAGCATCATCGCCCTGGGGAGGGCTCCGCTACCATCACAAAAAGCGGCGACGCGCCTTTTCACAACTTCGAGCCACTATACAGCGGAGTGTTCGAGGGTGCTCGTGAACATGTGCTCATCTTTCACAGAAAGAAAACGGGAGGGTCGGTCGGATCGGATAAGGTCAAGCTGCTAATGCATTGTCGAAGCAACGTCTGGGTTTCTTGGGAGGCTGAACCTCAGCTTCCGCGGAAAAAAATCTCACAGCCACTTCGCTGTCACGCGGCCTTTTCATTCTGATTTTGTAGGATGACTCTGGTGAGCTTTCCCGGAACCTTGCTCAAAATGCTCAAGCAATACTCGATCCTAGAATTATGATATGGTCTGTGTTCGGCAACAACCATACTTGGACAAATCACTTGCGCATATATAGATATGTAAGGACGAATTTGATGACCGCAAAGTTGTTAGCCCACCCCTGATTTTGGGTCCATCACCATGGACACTTGCCCACAATGTCACGCTCACCAAAGTTTGACAGAGCGGCGAAACACATCAGTCAACAGCATCAAACAAGCCGGGTAACCTCGGCGGAGGCATCGAGACTTGGTGCTGGGAGCTGGTCCAACATGGCTGCAAGATCCCCCGCACGGCGGCTGAAGTCCTGAAAAAGACGGAGTCAGGCCCCACAAAGATTATGAAAAATATATATGCGGGTTCTGGATGACCAACACAAAGTGAGTGTCCAGTGCAGTGCACCAACACATGCAAATCACAAACCACTCTGAGCAACCGCGGCACTCACTTCAATACAAACACCATATGCCATATGGCTCAAGAATTTGCTGGACCAAGAATCCACCGTTTGAGGTGACGCACCTGGGGCTGTAGCCCCAGGACCAACGAAAATCGGTGGAGAAGGCCTGCTTTCAGGTTCAACCTGCGGGCAAAAAGAACAGACTTTGTCCTCACAAGACAAAGGGCAACAGGATAGAGTCGAGAGTCCCCATGTCGGGAAGCATCGCATACGGGAATTGTTCATTTTTCAGTCAAGGGTGACCAAACAGTTTGTCCTGTCCTCCCTGAACCTGAAATTCACAGAAAGCCTCGGAACTACATTACACAGCGCGCACAAAAAATAACAAGTAATGCAAACAAATGATCATTTCTTGAAGTCCTTGGCGCGCCGTCCACGCCCACGAGCTCGACCAGCGCCACCGCCTCTTGCACGCCCCAGCGTGGCCAAGAAGTTGAGTTGTGCCAATTTTGCTGAAGCCTGGAAGCGTTGAAAAAGCAGCAACATGTGTGGGCGGCGAATGTGGACGTGAAAATAACCAACATTGCCAAGTCAAAATCTGTTCATGTTACTGTTGGCAATCTTTTGAATTGCAATTTTTAGTATCCAAATGCCTGTGCGTTGCTTGCAGCCGGCTCCAGTTTTGGCTCCACTGGGACCAGCGGTGGCATCTCAGGGTCCGTGCTCGGACTGCGCTCAGCCGGGTCATCGGATTGCTCGGCCATGCCACCAAGAGCTCCAACCATATTCAAGTGGAATTGTGTAGCGTCAAGAGTGATTCGGAAACTGTCTGTGGCGGCGATGTGCTTGTTGCAAATGTTCACTTTGTTTAATGGCTTGGAACTTTGGAACGTCCGACATTTTCGACATTCCATGTCAGAATCCGACAGTCTTGAACCGGCACGCCGGGGTGGCATCACATGCGCAAAACAAACAAACATAGCAAATATTAGTGACGTGAGGATGTGGATTGGGGGGAAGACTATTCACTATCGAATAAGTGAGCAATAGTCGTCACCATGGCCGACCACTTTAGGAAGTTCACCAAAAAGGACGATGTGCTTCTTTTCCAAAACCCTACGGACATGATCAGGCATTGCTTGTTTGCACCATCGCAAAATAGAGCGCACTCCACCCGCGGTTAGACGCAACTCTTTCCTCCGCCCCTTCCAGTGATGGGCGGAGGGGGAGGCGGATTCGCGGGTGGATACAAAGAACACCTGCCAACACCAACGCCGCGAACAATTCGCAACCCATGTGAGGGAGGAAAAGGCAACCACAATGACGACGCGGTAGGTGTGGAAAAAGCGGCTGAGGGCAAAATTGACACACATCTGGCCGCTTTGCTGTCACCACACATCCAGCCTCAACCCCCTATTCGGAAAGTTTCCGCCAACACCTCACCCTGCCAGGCGGTTGGCCGTCACACACCCACCTCCAAACCAGGCCAAGCGGTTAAAAACCCAAGAGGGTACAAGACCGAGCAACATGGAAAGCACTCAGCCGCTTTGTCGGCAAATGCAGCATGGTCATTAATGACCAGACCCACCCTCGAAGAAACAAAAAAGGCATCGCTGGAGGCCCTTCCATAGAGATAAGTCTGACGAAATTCTGCCTCGTCTCAATTCCTGTAGTGCCTGAAGTCTGAAGTTACATCCGTCCGGGGAAGCCTGTGGCTTTCGAAGAAGCCTTGGCTTTCTCTTCCTCCTTCCCGTGAGTTTCTGGAGCAGTTGTCTTTTTGACCTCGGGTGTCTTGTGCGCTAGTACCTCCACGCCTTCAGGTAGCCAAAAGTTGCGGCAGTCCAAGCTGGTGGAATCAACGGTAACGGTGAAAATGGACGGCTCGCAGAGGTCACCGCCATCGTGCGTTCCTGGAACATGGTGATGGGAGGCTCCTCCAAGAAGCTGATTAAATAAGCAATGGCCGAAGTGTTTTTTTTTCAAGTACCTTTTTCCGCGCGAGACCGGTCTATGGAGGTGACTGTGTTTATACTGGTCTGTCCCCCAAGTGTGTTGGGAGGCGGCTGGGTTGGGGCGGTTCGGTGGGACAGAGAGGTTCCCCTCGTGGCTGGTCGTAGTTGTTGGCGGCGTTTTCTGTCCGTCAAGAGGGCTGTTTTGCGTTTTGAAGGGAAGATTGGAGCCGTTCGGCTGGACGAAGATGTCGATCACCCAGGGTAAATGCACGGCGCTGGCTGAAGGGCTGAAGGGGGTTCCCAACCGCGCGTTTGAAGGGCCTGCGCAGCTGCCCGTGCTGCTTGGATGGCTCGGGGGCGCGCGTCAGTTGTTGGATGATGGCGTTGGCTAGGCGTTGGCTAGGCTGGGAAGCTGGCGCTGGAGGACGACCCAGGGCCAGGAAGCTTGGGGGCAGTGACGGCTGCGGCAGTTAAGCCTAAACCAGTATGGCCAACGCACTTGCTGGGATTGGCACACTGCCACGGCTTCGTCATGGTTTGCGCCGAAGTCGGCGATGGACTGGGGCAGGAGCGTGGCCCCAACTCAGCAGTTGCCGGCTCATGGGACACGCTGGCCAGCACAGATCAGCAACCTCCCGCACCAGTGGGCCCCAACCACGAGGATGGCAAGGGCCAACTGTGACAGGACTCAAGGTGTACGGACATTTGCCACCAGCCAGGCAGCCACGCCCTCCTGGACTCCCAATCCGGGCTATATGCGAGCCCGCGCTTTCACTACAGTATACCTCAAATTCCACATACACGTCTGAACACTTCCATGTGCTCATGCTTCGAAGGCTCCAGCGCCACTCCCCGTCCACTAGGGCTTGACACACTTGGTGACCAGTGTGTGCACAGTCGGGACTTTTGCGCAGTCACGGAGGGCCACTGGAACGAGCACAGCAGCAGCAGCAGCAGCGGCAGCGGCAGCGGCAGCGGCAGCAGCAGCACCAGTCAGCGACGAGCTGTTCCCAACAGCCACACCACCCGCACGAAACCAGCCAGTTCCCACAATCCAGTCCAGCCCACTGCCCGGCCTCGCCTCTGCACGCATGGGCTTCCCTGCGCAAAGTCGACTTGGATGCAACTTTGAAGCCAGCTTTCCTGCAAGGGCAGATGCGCCCAAGCGTGGAAACAATGCACGCTTCTGCCTCGGACGCTCCTTCGTTGCATTCCAAAAGAGGCCTGGCAGACTCGCATTTAACGGCCAACTCCAAAATGGAAATTGGATTGCCTGGATCGCACTCAAACAGCCCAATGCCACTGCAAGAGCTGCACAGCAGAGCCACCAAGCATGTCAACTGGTCCACCAAGGAGAGGCGTGCCTAGTCAGGCTCAACTAGCCACGGCCACGACCGCGGCCCTTCTCCTTTTCCTCCCCCTTTATCTTTTCCTTTGTTTCCGTCTCGTCGCCGTTGGCGGCGTTGCTGTTCTTCCTGGGTCCGGTGGAAGTAGATAGCTAGCAAGTCTGTTTCACCGTTTTCTCGAGCGGTTTTATTCTTTTCGTTCATGTGTTCGCGGAGGGCGCGGAAGATCTGGAAGGACAGGTCCCCAAACTCGAGTGTGAACAAGAAGTGGCCGGGGGCTCGGATCCTCTGGTTGGTGTTCTGTTAGGGTCCCGCGACCTGCGAAGCTTGTTGGGCAAGATGAACCGAGTTCCAAGTAGTAAGGCCGGAACCAAACAAAACCAAAGCGGAGGGATCGGGTCCTTACACAGGGCTTCAGCCGCATCCTTGGCTAGAGTCTCGAACACTCTGGAGTCTTCGGCTCGTTTGAACACACGTTCAACACTGGCAGAGTTTTCTATAGTCACTCTAGTACGAAGATGATCGCTTTCACCTGTCTCGACTGGGCTTCTTGGAGGGCCTTCACGTCTTGCTGGTCTACTTGCGTTTTGCGCTGGCCCCGACTGGGGCTGCTGGGCGTCTACTCCCATCGCATCGGCGTTTCAACTCCCAAGTCCTGTGAGCCACGCCGAGGCGGATGCCTATCACGCTCTGCACCGAAACAAAAGGTTGTCAGGCAACACCATGAAGACGGGACCATGGGCGGTTTGAGGGGAATACCTTCCTTGGGAGCTCGTGGCGTCCCGCTGTTCTGACTCAGGACGCGCCTGGTTGGGGTACCGAGACGCGCAAGGTAACCCCGCCTGGCAAGAGGAATCCACCTACCACCTTGTCACTGTTTATTGACATCGACTCTCACGGTTCTTCCGGGCTTGTACACTTCCCAAGACAGAACCACAGAATTGACATCGGCGGTTTGCGTCACCGATGTAGGACGTTTGGTCGGGGTGTGCCCTTAGGTCGACGCGCCAATATTGGCCGCATGCCTCACACCCACAGACCTCAACCGTGGGTTTGTCTGGATCCGCGCAAGCGTGGTGATCGACATAGTGGGCGACGAGGCTGTTGCTTTTAGCGAAACCTTGTGGGCAGTGACATTGACGCCAGCCGTCGCGGTCCTGAGCTAAGCGGAACCAGTCTAATTCGGTAACTTGAATCAGGTATTGTATCGATTGTTGTTTGCGATACCTAGGCCGGGGCTGAGTCATGTGGCTGGTCCACCATCCGAACAAGACCTTTTGGGGCAGACGGTGACAGCCCGTCCGGGCTACATGACCAAGCCAGAACAGCGATTGTCGTGCGAGGGTAAACTCAATGGGCTCCCACTGGGCTAGCGTGCACAGTTGCATACTTTTGACCTGGTGTTGGTGTAACCAGGGTCGGTTGCCTGGGGGCGCTGCCGATCTGCGCGAAATACGACCCGTTGGAGCATCATAAAATGTTCGCGATTCCAGACCCGAGAGCGACCGAAGCATGTCAACGAGGGCAGAAGGACACTTTTCAAGACCTTGATCCGGATGGAATAGAGCATTTCCGTTGCTGCGATCGAGCGTTGAACTGCCAGGACCTGGCTAGTTGACGAAGCTTAACGGAAGCTCGGGAAATGCGCTGGGTCGTGTCACGTTGGCTCCCCCCTGTTCCTCTAAGACGCCGCCAACGTGGCGAACCCAAGCTTGCTTGCCCTTAAACCGGACATCAGTAGGTTGTCGGGGTGTACCCGGAATGCGCAAGCTTTCGGTTTTGCCCGGATGGACCTTTTCACGCCAGTCTCTCGCCGATCAAAGTTGTGTCATCAGCAAAACCGATGTCTCCAATACCCACCTGACGGGTCTTCAATGAGAGATGCTCTCGACTATGGCTGTTGTGTCCGACCCGACCATCGCATGTGACCGTCCATTGAACGCCCGGTGTTGGATTTTTGACGTGACGGCACGACGGCAGCACGATAGCAATTAAACAGCGGAGGGGAGCTGGGACACCCCTCCCTCAACCCTTTTGTCGACTGAATACACTGAGGATGGTAGCTAGTGCCCTCATGAAGCGCCTGGCAAATGCTGATAAAACGATGTGGGGCACCCTTACGTTGCAAGAGGCGCCACAAGGTGTCACGAGAGACTCTGGGGTAGGCCTTTTCAATGTCCAGCAGGCGGATCAGGTCTAAACACGTCGGGCCACTATAGCCGGGCTAAAAGCTTGGACCCAATGCTTAAGAGAGTAGCCCCTCGCCACATAGACTTGTCATTCTTGCAACTTTTCTTATTCGAGAGGGGGCTGACTAAACCTTCATTCCAACTAGTTGGCCAATCTTGCGCCTCCTCGCCTGCTGATGCGTACCGGGCTGCCTGCCACCTTTGGCGCACAATGGCATGTATTCGAGTTTGCAATTCTGGGCTACCATATTCATAGGATTCGGGTAGGAATCCGTCCACGCCGGCCGCTTTGCCGGTTCTTCATCTTGAGTCCAC